TCCTAATTATAGGAATCATTCCTAATGAATTCATTAAGAATTTGGAGCTGTAGGAATCACGTAAAGCTATCTAAACTTTACGTTTCACTTTTTTCTTCAATCACAGGAATGGACTACAAAGTTGCGGACCAAAGAAAACGCATGCAGACGGAAACCTTAGCTAAAAAATGACACCTTTTACCATGGACCGTCGCGTGAATGTCCTACTGAAACGTTGTTTTCTCAGATGTCAACATCGGTGTCATCGTCTTCATGAACCGATCAAGACGCGAACAATTAAACTAACAAACCAATTTTTCGAACCGAAATGACATCCGCACAAACGTTCCGCGACTTTCTGTTTTTTGTCTTTGTCTCCAACGAGTCTGACATAATTCAAGATACTTACCAAGCACCGCTCGTTAAATAAATCCCTATAATTTACAGTAAATCTTTTGAATGACTGGAAGACCGTTTTTTTTTTTTGCGAAATGACCATTAAACTATAAGGAACACGAGGTGTCTCCGCAGCTAACGTTTAGCACAGAGCCACATCATTTCTATCTTGTTAAGTTTCATTTTATTTTGGCAATGCTGCGAAAAGAAAAAAAAATTCTTAATGGAGTAATTTTTTACATAAATATATATATCCGTATTTTTCGGACTGTACGGCGCATCGGGTTATAAGGCGCGCTGTCGATTTTTGAAAGGCTTTTAAGTGCGTCTTATTGTGCGGAAAATACGGTATATCATGTCACTTAGCAAGCAGATAATGTATCTGGAGTGCGACTAGCTTGATTTGGCTACGGCTTGTTCGATTTAAGAAGGTTTGTGACCTTGGAGGTTTTGAACTCGAAAAGTCTGGAGTCACTTTGGTTAAAAAAAAAAAATCTCGGTGGATGTACTTAGTTTTCCCTAAACGAAATATGACGTGAAGTAATCCGAATAAATACAAAAAAAAAACAAACAAACAAAAAAAACACCACCCAACGTCAATCAATTCGTTGTATATTGTTACATGTAACCGGTCTAACGTTACACGTACACAATAACAAAACCCAAATATGAGCCCAGCTCTGGTGTGTCGTGTCGGTATCGTGGAGTGGAACTGTCTATTTCAGTGTGACAGTACCACAATGAAAAAGCCGTGCGCAGCCACAGTGCCGCTGCCCCAACGGTAGCTTCGTTAAACGGGCCCGAAACCCAGATTACCCGAGAAGCAAACGACGACAAAACGTACGAGTGTAACTCCTAACGGCTGTTAACTAGCATAGTACTAGACTATTCATACGGACCAAAACAACGAAGCGTCGTCATGGCTGGTTAACTGAGGCAGCTAGCCGATGCTAACGCGGCTAGTTAGCCGACAGTCGCCTCATATTATGATACTAACGGCTATGGGAAATAAAAAAATAAATTAAAAAACGGGTGGTAGTGACAACAGAACGGCAACACAGACAACACCAGTCGGCGAACTGATTGGGGTTGACTTCGTGGAGCTGCGGTGTGTGTAGAGAAATGCTCCTCGTCCATATCGAACAATAATCTCTTTGAGGGTGATGTGATGAAGCCTCTGCTTACCTCTGGTCAGATCCAGCGGTACGTTCTCCTCCCCGCTGTCATTCCGACCTGCCACGAAAAACACCACAAACACGGGGAAGACATGAGCCAAGGGTCGCGAAATGTCCGAGTTGACGTCTTATCGCAATATTCCCGCAAACAGAGCAACCACAGGGTCTAGTTTATCATGCCTACCTCGTATCCGAAGACTCCGGATAGGACGGCCGCGGAAGCTGGCCGCCATGTTTCCAGGAACATACACAACACCGGAAACTTCGCAGTTTCTCGCGAGAGTAGCGGAGAAGACCTTCAGCCGGACTGACCCAACTGAATAATACAACTTCGTTGGAATGACATAGAAGATAGACTACATTAATTTATACATTTACAAAAAAATATATTATATATATATATTTAGATACCTCATTTGTCCCAAATGTATGAATTATATTTAATTATATTATATTAAATATATAAATCATAATGGATGAACCAATAAAACGTTGCTGTTTTCTGTTGCAACATATTGAAGAAAATTTTCCACAATAAATGACAAGCAGCTAGGAATATTTACATTAGAACTTTATTACGATCCCCCTAGTGGAGGTCGACAGTGTAACACTTTGTTTGACAAAAAAACAAAATCTAGTGGCATAAGAGTAGTTATCTAACACATATATACAAACATACCCGTGTATGTTTTCCTCATCGGCTTCCGATCATTTGTACGAGATTCCGCAAAGAATCCAAATAAACACAGATGTCGACGACTTCTGTATTTTTAGGTATTTATTTCCGCTGTCTTAAGCCTCTACCGTGGGAGTGAACGGAAACACCGTGTGTCCGGCACCTCGTGGCAGCGTGTTGCGGAGTCTTGAGTTGCAGGGTTTGGAGGTGTACCGGCTGAGAGGGGGACCCGGTGCTGGACCCACGGCGACCCTCTGACCCGACTGACATCACGCCGCTGTCACTGCGCTCGTGGCCCACGTTGCTGATGCTACTGCTGCTACTATAGCTGCGGAGTATAGAAAATAAACTAGTTTTGTCAAACAATCCGTTACAAACTCTGTCACCATCCGGTACCATGGCTAACTTACAGCTGGTTCTTCTGCCCAAGACCGTGGTCAGTTCGTGGTGATTCCGCGGGTCCATCGGACAGAGAGGGGGACGATGGTTCCTGAGTGATGACAAAAACACATGTCAGCGTAATTTTGTAACGTTACTCGTATGATGATTTTGAAAAAAGCCATACTCTCAGAGCGCCGCGCTGCCCCAGTGCCCTCACTTTGCCCAGACTGCAGCGCAAAGCGGCATTTTCCTCCTCAAGAACCTTTATGCGGATGTCGTTCGCCTGCATTTGTTTCTCCATGTCCAAAAGCATGTTCCCGGTACCTGCAAGATTACAAAGAACAAAACGTTCACTTGGAGAACAGCAGAGGTGTGCACCAAGTCCGAGTCACAAGTCTCAAGTCTTTGCACTCGAGTCCGAGTCAAGTCTCAATTCAGGACAGGCAAAGTCGGGGTCGAGTCCAAGTCACACTGAAGAGTGTCAAGTCAAGTCCCAAGTCCTGCCGTTTCTGTTTGAGTCCTTTTAATCAGAATAATAATATATTTGCACAGATCACTGCCACTCGTTTTTTGTTGACCACGTCGTAGTTTTTAAATCCGAACAACACGATCTTCGGTATCATTTTCTCTCATCCGCGCGTTGTTCGACAGCTCTTCCCAGAGGTGGGACTAAGTCATTGCTTTGCAAGTCACAAGTAAGTCTCAAGTCTTTGCACTCAAAACCGAGTCAAGTCTCAAGTCTCAAGTCAGGACAGGCAAAGTCCGAGTCGAGTCCAAGTCAAGACTGAAAAGTGTCAAATCTCAAGTCCCATGTCCTGCCGTTTCTGTTTCGAGTCTTTTCGAGTCCTTTTAAATAAAATAATATATTTACACAGATCACTGTGGCTGTCAAAGGGCTCGAGTCTGAGTGAAGTCACGAGTCGTTGACGTTAAAGTCGAATTGCAAGTCTCTTTACATTTTGTCAAGTCCAGTCATCAAATCGATGACTCGAGTCTGACTCGAGTTCAAGTCATGCGACTTGAGTCCACACCTCTGGCTCTTCCTCTCAGGTTGTCCCGCAATTTGATTGGCTCGATGCTAAACGTGTCAAAACAACGTGGGTCTTGCTTTATAATCTTTGGATTTTGGAGAAAGTATCAAGTCTCGTCGAGTCAAAGGGCTCGAGTCCGAGTGAAGTCACGAGTCGTTGACGTTAAAGTCCAAGTCGAGTTGCAAGTCTCTTTATTTTTGGCCAAGTTCGGTTAAAGTAATCAAATCGATGATCCAAGTCATGCGACTCGAGTCCACACCTCTGGAGAATAGCACGGGAATAACACCTAATTTATCCAGTAATATCAATTACAGACTACTGGCTCCGTGTGAAAACTGCTACGTGCTAATCTGGATTAGTGGGACAAGTAGAGTTCCAATGAAATAAATGAATGTCAGTGCATAAGGAGCCTCAGCTAGCCTAGCGTTTTGGGACCAGAATCCACCGATTGAACCTACTCTGCGGCTGCGTCCGAGCCAGTGGACTGAGCTCCGGGAAAGCCACCAGCAGCCTCTCCCTCTGCGTCAGAGTCAGCACGTGTTCCCTTAGCTCGGCCACGTCCTTATCGAGCTGACGGACGTTGGCCTCCAGCATCTGTTTCTCTTTCTGGAGCTCCGAACCACAGTCCTGTAGAGGGGGGAAAAGAGATCGTATTTGTACGACGCCACAATTGTCCTAAAGTTGACAAAGAGGTGGAGGGGGGGCGGGGTCAGGAGCAGATAGATGAGCGTTGGTGTGAACTAAGATAAACGACTTGTTAAAGTCATGCAAAAATGCTAAAATGCTTTTATAATTTTCTACGCCATCTACTGGGGAAACGTGGGGATTGCAGGGAAATGGCAGACTTATAATGATCCATCCATCAATTTTCATCCGCTTATCCGATACCGGGTCGCGGGGAATGATAATAAATTGTATAATTTAAAAAGGTTTGGCAGGCTGGATTAGCAAGATGAATGGGCCGCATCCGGGCCCCCGGGCCTTAGTTTGCCCATGCCTGACCTAACCCATAATTCATCCTCTCTCTGACAAACTTGCACGTCCAACAATATCATCGTTTGGTCGCAATTAGTCAAAAAAAAAAAAACGTGCTCGTATTTAAGAACGTTGATTTATTGTCATTAATCGTGACGAACCGGATCAATTACGAACAACAATACGATCATCAGATAAAACTATCTGAAGCCGACCCAAATATTTGTTACGTCAATGGAACTCGGGGGGGCCACCTGCTGTTTGTTCAGTTGTACTTGCAGTCGCTCCTTCTCATCCGTCGTCCGCTGTAGCTCCTCCTCCAGTTGGACCTGAGTATCGCGGCGCTCCTCCAACTGCCTCTGCAGCTCTTCGCACTCTTCATCCAGCGCCTCCACCTGCTCCAGCAGAGATTTCTGCTTCGTTTGCATCGACTGAAAAAAAAAACAAAAAAAAAAAACCAACACGATTTACTTCTACACACGCTAACGTTTCTGTTTAGAAAACAACAAACAGCCCTTTTTTTTTTCGTTGCAGCACTTGCCTCCTGTTGTCGACGTGCACTGTCAAACTTGGTGTTTTCTTTGTCCAGAAGGATCCGGCTTTCGGAAATCTGAGCCTGCAGTTCCTGAACTGTTTGTCGGAGAAGACGACAAGCCTCGTTCTCTGACTTCAATTTCTCCTCTAGTGCAATCTTTTCACTTTCTTCCGATAAAAAAAAAAGTATTTTTTGTTTTCAGGTGTACCGTGACAAAAATATCAAATTTCACTTAATTGGACAGAACAATTAATTTTAATAGAAATATCCAATAATATCGGCATAGCCATTTTATTGGCCTGATATTTGAATAATTATGTAATATCTGCGAGAATCGTTATGAGTTGTATTGGCTGTATGTGAACGTAAAAGCCACTAGATGGCAGTATTGCGGCTCATTTTATTAATCTATTTTAACTTTTTTTTTTAACACTTAACTCATACAGTTGTTTGTACATATAAACAAATACATATCTGCCCGCTAGGGGGAGCATGCCAGAAAATAATTTAAAAAAACACTGCTTTAATCCATCAACCTAGTGAGCCAGGATCGGTATCGGTTGATATTGGAATCGGGAATTTTTACCAAGTACTTGTTGAGTTTCCTGCTGCGCCGCTACTTTTTCTTGAAGCCTGGAGTTCCTTTGCTCCAAAGACGAAGTTTCTGTAAAAAAAAGCGTAGACTGTGATCTCCGATTCGTCTCTGTTTTTTTTGTCATATTTCTTTACGTTATATGAACCTCTTTCCAGTTCCCGTTTCTTCTCTCGTAGACTTTGCTCCGCCGCCTTCAGGGATCGCTCCGCCTTGTTCAGCGAAAACTCCAGCCGGACAACGGTTGCCTGCTGCTTTTCCATTTGCCGCTTGGAGTCCGTGCGTGTCATTTCCAACTCTGACGTCAAACGCTGCAGCTCTGCCTCTGCCGCCGCCAGCCGGTCCCTCAGGGGGTCGACGGTGCCGCGCACGTCTTCTAGGTGTCGTTGCAGCCGACGTATGTCCCTGAGCTGCTCGTTGGCCCACTGGCCGACGTCCTCCGCCGTCATGTGTCCCGGTTCTAGGAGGTTCTTCATGGCGGACAGGAGTAGCTGCAGGGAAGAGGGCAGACCCTCGCTCTGCAGCAGTTTGACCAAGGCGCCGCCCGTCATCTTCAGAACCGATTGGATTTGCCGACAGTCTTTGCAGGGGGCGGGACGCACTTCGGGAACGCCATCGGTGTTG